ATGCATTTACTGTAGACTTTAGTAAAAACCACTGAAAGAAAAATTATATTTACTTACTAATCTAATCTTTTTTGACATGAAAATAAAGAGATCATGTAATATTTTATGCCTATTTCCAAAAATAGACCCATCCACACTGGACAAGAGAACATAAGAGAACATGTGGCCGAGATAAACTGAGAAAATCACATGTAAATTTGTCCAAATTATGTTCCCAAAAATGCACATTACTAATCAAAATATGAGTTTTGATGCAATTATGGTTCAAATTTTTAAAATAATGATATTTTCATATATTTTTATATTATACTCATTTCATACATATTTTTATAATGATAAAACATGATATTTTCTTAATAATCTAATCATTTTTGGCATAAAAGTAAAGAGATCACTCAATATTTATGGCTATTTCCAAAAATATACCCGTCCACACTGGATTTGTGGCCACATTTCATAAACTTCACATCATCTTTTTATTTTTTAAATGTAAACAACACTACAATACAATTCTCACCAGAAACTAAGAACACTTAAAAGCAAATATGTGTTTATCATTCAGCCCTGCTACGATTTCAGGATGTAGAGGAGAAAACGTTGCAGTTTATTTAATTGATAACAGATGAAGGTGGCCAAGAGGGGTCAGAGGTCAGGATCACCATGGAAACCGCATGCGTTTAGGGACTGGGTGGGGAGTTTGGGCTGCGAGAGGTCATAGTTCATAGGTTGCCGCTGCAGCCTTTTTTTCCAAACAAAGGGCGTCATTGCCTTCTGCACGCACCGCCTGCTGTCCGTCCAAACCCCACACGGTGCTAAAGAAGGCCTCGGGTCAGTGCCTATAAACCACTTTTAACGTCCCCCAAATGTCCCCTGTGCCCTGCCGTCACCCACATGACCTCAGCTGAGTGGACATCAATGCCCAAAACAACACCCATATGCCACTGGATCTGCACACACGACCTGCCCCCAAATCATTTTGTGTAAACAATTGACAGCCTGGGCAGAAATTCATCAATGTACACTGTAAACAATATCTGTGTATTAACAGTTTACATGTTTTGTGATTCACAACTGTTTGTTTACGGTGGTGAATTGCATTATGGGAGCTGTTTTGTTAGCTTTTGATGTTGAAAATTCAACACTACAGTTTAACTTTTATTGTTATTCAAATGGGTTGAAAGGATTTATTGTATAAGAAATTATGAGTATAAGTGTGTAAAATAACAGAGAATGTGCTGCAGTTTATTACAAGGTGTTAGTAGCATAATATACACCACAAACTAGACAATATAGCACTTTAAACTATCAAAAACATTAATAAATGATCACTTTTTAAAATTTTTCAATGTTAAAAGGTTGTTGGAAGAAAGATTGAGGAATTTTAAAAGCGTAAATAATCAGGCCAACTTCAATGTTCAACGTCCATGCCCATAGCCAGTAGGGTTCGGGTTGTTCGAACGAACTCCCCATGGCCAAAAGGTCCAGAATTTGTCCTTTTAATAATTGTATGTAATTTGATATTTTTAAATATATTTATTAAATTATTAATATATTTATAATTAATATATGTTGTAATAAAGTGTCATTTTAAATAACTCTGGTCAGTAAATTTAATCCCATGGAGCCTCAAAGCCACAATAACGCCCCATTCACATGGGGCGTCAGCGTCAACGCTTCCCATTCACTTTGAATGGGTGCCGTCAGGCGTTGCCGAACTGTATTGTGGATCCGTCGGCACCGCTTCAGAAGCGTTGCTCGCTGCAGAAGTTGGGACTAGCTTAACTTTTCAGGCGCCAACGGAAGCGTCAGCCAATCAGATCGCTGTATGCAAATACACCAGCTCAGCCAGTGGCCTATTGCTGACTGAATTTCATTGGCTGACGCTTTATGACGATCGCTTCAGCCCCAACTTCAGACATGCCTTCAGTCAAGCGTTGACGCTGAAGCCCCGTGTGAATGGGGCGTAATGTGACCAGAGTGGTAACGTTTGAATGTTTGATGCGACATCCATACAGAGTAACGCTGTGGGTCGAAAAGAGGCAGAAAAGGCAGGCAGTGGTGTCATTATCACCAAATATTGAACATACGCTCAAATAGACTCGGAATGGTGGGTGGGGAGAACTAGCATTTAAGGCACAGGCCACGAAAACAGCTACAGCGTGTTCAGAGCAGAACATTATACTGTTCTGAAAGCTATAATCAATAATCTGATGGGTGTTTTGAGCTGCAATGTTACAGACACATTCTGGAGACACAAAAGGCATCTTAAGGCCCAATCCCAATTCTATTTTTGTACCCCTTCCCCTTGGCCCTTACAACCGAGGGTTAAGGGGAAGGGCTTCAAAATTTCCCCCTAAAGCCTGGTTTATACTTCTGCATCAAGTGACCGGCGTGACCCACGGCGCATGCAACGCGCGTTGCTGTGCATTTATACTTCTGCGCGCTGTCTCTGTTGGTCTGCATTAACACTTCCGAAACGCTAGTTGGCAGTGAGGTGTAAATGTTCCTCTGTGTCAAATTTTTCTCCGCTGCTGTTTTGCTTTCCTGAACACTTCTTGGATGTACAAGTGACTCAAACTCGCTCATTTTGAGGCAGGAACCGGCGGACGTGCAACAACTTTAACTATGAGGTAAACACAAAACAAAACTTTCCATTCGGAGCTCCTTCTCGGGACTTCACACTTGTAAACAATCGCTCCATCAGGCTCGCACCATTCAAGCGGCTCTCGGTCCCGCCCAGACTCGTCAGTGCTACCAAGCCGACCAATCACAGAGCTTGCGAAACGCGTCATTGCGAAAATGTAGTTAAATTTTTTGAGAGGTGCACGTCAGTGACGCCGACGGCCACGGCGAATGGCTATGCGTCAGCACCGTAGCATACGCCGGCGTTTGACGCAGAAGTATAAATCAGCCTTAAGAATTGGGACAGCACTACAGCACCTGCACACATCATCTTGTCCTTGTGATTTCTTACTTCATATGAGATAAGATGATGGCGACTGCTGGAGTGATTCCAGTTGTGTTATTTGTTGGTATTTATCTTCAGGAAATCACTGAAGGCATATATTATGTTATCATAATGATCTAATGTGGCAATGAGATCGTAACTGTACTGTGCATTTACACAGTGGCCATGTTCATCAATGTAAACACACCAAAAACAGCATGAACATTATAGTAGACACTGTAAAAAGCTCATTGACAGCCACTAGACTTTTCTGACTGGGTATTCCAGTGTCATCGAGTGTCTGAATGTTGTGGGACTGCTGTACAGGAGTATAGATTGCGAAATTTATCTGTTTTATTTTAGCGTTTTTTTTTTTTTTTTTTTTTAAGCATGACGGTAAAACATGACCGCGGTTAAGAATATATTAAGACGTGTTTGTTTGTTGTAAAAATTCGTTATAATGACAAAAAAAAAATACTAATTTGTGGATCTCCTTACTTACGGGTGCAGCTGTTGCTGGGGTACTCTGGGAATTTTTTCTTGCCCCTTGGTTTCAAGTGTGGTCTTGAAAAATCTTCGTTTAAAGGGCTATTCACCCCTTCCCCTTAGCCCAACTCCTTCAAGCTAAAGAGAATTGGAACACCCCTACCCCTTGGCGTGCACGCACAAGACGAAAAGTAGGGGTAAGGGGAAGGGCTAAGGGGTAGAATTGGGATTGGGCCTAAATCTTAAAAAAGGGGTAAATAGGTGCCCTTTAAAACATGTGCTTGTTTGTTGAAAACTTTCGTATTAATGACTAAAAATACTAATTTGTGCATCTCCTGACTTCTGCAAGTGCTTGCACTTTGCGCATGAATCGTCAAAATAGAGCCCAAAATGAGAAAACAATGGGCGTGGCTTGTTTTTCTCTACTGTGAGCTGATTGGATGTAGCAAAGTAGGCGTTTCATTCAGAAAGATCAGGAAAAGGGTTTGGGGAGAGTTATTACCACCTAACAGACTCCTCCTGCTCATCATTTTGGGTTGTTGTCAAAACTGACAGCTGGAGGGGCGTGTTTATAGATGTTAGCCACACCCAATACCTCAAACAGACGTAATCTAAACAAACAGGAAGTGCATTTTCAGATTTCAATTAAAGATCACAAGAGCAAACTATTGTTTTTGTCAATAGCCCCTTTCACACAGTGATACCGGTAAATATCTGGAAAATTTCCGGAACGACTTTACCGGTATATTCAAAAAAGCGCTGTTCACACAGGCGAGGACGTTACGGAAATTTTCCGGAAAAGAGCATTCACACATCCATTCCAAAATACCGGTAAATTCTGACATCATTCACCACAAATGAGCTTTAAACGGCTGCGCTTGTATTTGTAAACATTTGACTAAATTACAAACTCTGTGGATGATCAATATTGTGAACAACTTTCGCAGGATCACTTTCGCATGTCGAGATGTTCATAATATGTGCGTGTGCAGGCGCTCACAGGCTGTATCACAGGCACACGCAAAGCTTGAAGGTAAACAAACAACGGCTTATCATAAGCATCTCATCGATGATTATTTACACAGGTGGCATTAAGAAGAACATATAAACGTGATCTGACTAACTTCTAGCAGCTAAATGTGTCTGGAAAAATATTCAAAGGCTTTTATTCTCACAAACCGCGCGGACGTAAATGCGTCTGACCGTTGTGATTGGCTAAAGCAGACGTCTCACGTCAGCACGTTCTAGACGTGCACGCACTTATTACGGCAATCTTCCTTCTGCATTCACACAGCGCAGCATTCCGGCAAATTGCCGGTAATGTTACAACTTCTCTTTCCGGAAAATAGCCAGAACGAATTTACCGGTATTTTCAAAAAGGGCCTATTCACACATACAACCTTTCAATTTTCCGGAAAGGTCTGTATGTGTGAAAGGGGCTAATGACATGCACAGATGAATTGTTCAGCACAACACTAGCAATGAGAGCTAACAAACTCAAAATGGCTAGTTTTGATTTCATCTGTACTTCTTTATTAATGTGGAAATTCTTGCATTGTTTCCGCAGGTGCTACAACTGTGGCGGTCTGGACCACCACGCCAAGGAGTGCAAACTTCCTCCCCAACCCAAAAGATGCCATTTCTGCCAAAGTGTCGCACATATGGTGGCAAACTGCCCCGTCAAAGCCCAGCAGTCGACACAAGGCTCTCAGGGAAAGTCTGCGGGTCAGAAACAAGAGGAAGCGGATCAAAATCATTCACCACCAGCCACCGACTGACACCACGCTTGAAAACCAATCACACACCACTGCACTGGATAAACACACATGCATAATGCTGCTGCTGGAACTTCCTCAGGTCTAAATAAGCAAGGAGAACATGACTTTCATATCCTTTTTTAATGGTTTGAAGGTGTGTTCACATCAAGAATGATGAATATACCCTCTCAGAAACATCTGCTTATTAAAAGTTGCCGTATTTATGTGTTTTCCACTTATTTGTGGTTGTGAATTGCATTATGGGATGTTGATCTCTGCTCTGTCCACTTTTGATGTAGAAAATTCACTTCTACAGTTGAACAAAGAGACTTTTAGAGGTTTAGAATAATATAATGTATAAGAAATAATATCAAGAGTGTGTAAAATAACAGAAAATGTGCTGCCGTTCATTACAAGGTGTTTGTAGTGTAATATACAACACCAACCCAGACAATGACTCACGGTAAACTATAATAAATGGTCATAAAAGTCAAACTTTTCAAGGTTAAAAGTTGTTGGAAGAAAGATCAAGCTCCCATAATGCAACTCAAAAGCATAAATAAACATCAATCACAAAACACAGAAAACTGCTTATTTACAGATATTTACAGTGTAGCTTCACAGCATCACACAGGCTGTATCCACAATCGCCCCTATAGCCTTAAATTGTGCACTATTTTAGGGAGCAGCCATGTGTAGTGGCATCCAAAACCATAGTGGATGTTCTGTGTTTAAGTTAATAAATCCCAAAATGCATCACAGAAAACCACGCCAACTCTGGGAGAACAGGCAAACTCCACACAGAAATGCCAACTGACCCAGCTAAGACTCAAACCAGCGACCTTTCTTGCTGTGAGGCGATCATGCTCCCTACTTTGCCACCGTGATGCCCCATTTTGAATTTAATGTGACCTTTTATTGTTAAGTAAAAGCAAACTAAAATTAAATCCTTCAATTAAGTGTTACAAATAAATCAGATTTAAAAATAAAAGTAAACACTGTCTCTCGGATAGAGGACACAAAACATCGCGAGCAAATCAATGCAAAAGCTTGACTTGTGTATTCGGCATTGAACTCCATTGTTTAATAAATGGGATTTTTTTTGTTGTTTTTAATAATAATAATAATTATTATTATTATTATTATAAATAATAATAATTTTTTACATTTATATAGCGCTTTTCAAAGCTTTACACAACTTGTGGAACCTCCTCATCCACCACCAGTGTGCAGCATCCACCTGGATGACGTGACGTCAGCCATATTGCGCCAGACCGCACACCAGCTGATTGGTGTAGAGGAGAAAAGCCATCAATGATATAGGGATGGTTAGGAGGCCATGATGACAGAGGTCGGTGGGCAAATTTGGCCAGGATAAACCCCTACACTTTTCAAAGAACATCCTGGGATTTTTAATGACCACAGAGTCAGGACCTCTCATTGAGTAGTATAGAGTCCCCTTCACTATACTGGGGCGTTAGGACCCACACAGACTGCAGGTTGAGCGCCCCCTGCCGGCCTTACTAACAACAGTTCCAGCAGCAACCTAGCTGGTCTCCCATTCAGATACTGACCAGGCTCACCCCTGCTTAGGTTCAATGGGAGACCATGTGAGAGCTGCAGAGAGCTAGCTGCCGGCTAATGCAATGACTACAGTAATACAGTCATTATATATATATATAATACATTCGTATATTAGTTCCTATAAAGCAATATTTTCTATTTTTTTTTAATATTAGCAAAATAAATTAGGAAATTACTCATGGCAACTTTAACGTTATGCAGTTTGCAGCCCACAGCCCTGTATGAAATTTGGATTTTGGCCCTTCATAAGAGAAGGTTTGGGCATCCCTGATACAGAAACTAATTCATTCATTCATTTTCTTTTCGGCTAAGTCCCTTTATTAATCAGGGGAATAAACCGCCAACTTATCCTGCATATGTTGTACACAGCAGATGCCCTTCCAGCTGCAACCCATCACTGGGAAACACCCATACACTCTCATTCACACTCATACACTATGGACAATTAGCTTATTCAGTTCCCCTATAGTGCATGTGTTTGGACTTGTGGGGGAAACCGGAGCACCCGGAGGAAACCCACATGAACATAGGGAGAACTTGCAAACTCCACACAGAACTATCAATAGACCCAGCTGAGGCTTGAATCAGTGACCTTCTTGCTGTGAGGCGATTGTGCTACCCACTGCGCCACTGTGATGCCCGATATAGAAACTCCTACAGGTTATTTTAGTTAAAACATATATTCTTTGATGATGCTCAGAATTGTGCACTGTGGACAAAACTCTGGGTTCCACAAAATCGATTTGAGTTGGGACAACATGAAGGAATTAGGTTAGCTTAGTAGTTTTTACAAATTTAAGTGGATTGAACATAAACCGATTAAGTTGCCCCAAAACAAACTCAAGAATTGTGTGCTCAATTTAAATAAGTAGTTTAAACAAGCAGAGTGTGTGTTTATGGTTATATTTCTCAGTCTTGATGTGAACACTATTAACGCTCAGGAATTGAGCTACTCAGGATGTACTGATGTGATACTACAGTGGTTTATATCTCATATCCAGTGTTTTCTACCTCATCTGGAGTTGTCTTAAACTCAAAACAAACATTTTAATCTTGCCTTTTGCTACATTTGAATGTTTCTCGCATCTCTTGATGCTTGTTTATGAGAGGATTTTAGTGGTTTTGGGTTTGAATTCAGGATTTGGAAGTCACAACAGACTGTCCTGATCGGCAGGGACCAAATGAATGTTAAACCGCTTTACCGGCGGCTTATTTTTACTCTGTCACTATAGTTATTATCTGTGCTATATCAAGCCCCGGTCAGATCACACAAATTTGTCATGATTTCGGCATGATTTTCTTGACGTAGGGTGTTGTAGATTCGTAAACGACAAATGGACGTCGTGACACAAGCTTATTCTCATGAAATGTGCCATAGTTCACAACAACCGAGACCATGCCTGCGACGCCTCATGACACCATTGCAGAAAGTCTAAATTGTTTAATTTTTTTCTCGTTTTGCACCACAAGTTCCGTCATGTGCAATAGAAGCACATCATTTCTCGGTTATGTCAGTGGGTGCTGTCGTCAATGCGCTAGTCAGGTAATCAAATATAGGCTGCATATTTATTTATGGCTGGATACGATCAATCATTGGTTATGCAAACATTAACAACCTTTTCTAAAATCAAATTTAAGCAATTTTATCTGACAGACTGGCATGCAGACATCTCCATTCTCACAGCGAGTTTCTGAGTTCTTTCATCTATCCGACTGAGTTTGTTCTTCCGAGGTAATCTGGGAACATGTTCAGTGACGTGAATACATTGACTGTTTCTCAGTTCCAAGAACGCAAAGTGGTTACCGGTCTTGCCAGGTGTCCTCGGAAGAACAAACTCAGGAGACCGCGAGGGCAGAGAATGCTTCCTCTGAGAAATGTGATGCTGCGTTCTTCCTGATGGTCACATGACCTTCACATGTTTTTAACGGAAAATTATTTAAACATTACAGCATTTATACTGGGATTTATTGTTTTAAAATATATACTATGCATAAAAACATTATAAATATATGTTGCACAATATAAATAAAGCTGATTTTAATACGAATTTCAGCAAACAAACACCCTTAATGTTTTTATTCCTTTATCAAGATGTTCATGGTAATGTTTATATTCACCGTTTCATTCAGGGAAACTCCTGAGGTAAATAAGTGATATCTCTGAACTTTAATAATAAATCTAAATAAAATGTTGCGCTTTCCACCTCCAGTCGCAATGACTTCTAGGACTTCTAGCGCGAGTTCGGTGCTCAAGTCTGCATCTATGTGTCCTCGATATCAAGAACACATCCGGGAAGTTTCACATGTCCTCTGTTCTTGCGGTCTTGAGTATTAGAACTGAACTTTGGCAGCTGATGATGACGTTACACGAGGACGCAAGACCGCTGAAGAACGCATATTGAGAAACAGCCGCTGTGAAAGCATCTCCTGCTTGCTCAAATTCATCATTAATAGTGAAAACAGTTTAATATCGGCTTCTCTGAAACTGTGAATATTTCACTTTCATTTTATTTAGGCTAGATTATTATTTCATTTAACAAACAAACACAATCTCACAGCAATTCGTGTTTTGGCGCATATAGCGGACTTGTTTTGAAGCACATCACCTTAAATGGTATTCTTGTTTATAGATAACTGACCAACAAAACATACATTAGAATTAAGATAAGGATTATAGCAAACGTAATTCGTTTAAAAAAGATATTTTTTTCTCCCACAAGTCTAGAGACATGTGGTACAGGTGAATTGGGTAAGCTAAATTGTCCGTAGTGTGTGTGTGAATGAGTGTGTACCCAGTAATGGGTTGCAGCTGGAAGGGCATCCACTGCGTTAAACATTTGCTGGATAAGTTGGCGGTTCATTCCGCTGTGGCGACCCCTGATTAATACAGGGAGTAAGCCGAAAAGAAAATGAATGAATGAATAAAAATATTTTTTCCAAGAAAAATATACAAATTACATGTTTATTTGTGCCCTTTTACTACTCAACTATACAGGTGGATTCTTTGTTTCGCTCTCAGGAAAATAGAAACTTAATGAAGGCTTCAGTGTGATTGTTGTATCACAAACCTCTGTCATCATTTTTTAATATGTCATTATTTCAAAGATTGTGTCTTGAGCATCTGATTTTTCCTCAGTGCTTATATACTTTCATTTACTTCTTCACATTCGTGGCAAGTTTAAGCGAGGGAGTGGACAAGAAAATAAACATTTAGATTTCAAAGACAATATCTGGTCACCCTTGTAAATGAGATCTTGATCTCAATGGGTTTTTATCTGGCTAAATAAAGAAACATATATCTTAATATTAAAAAGGAATAATAAGTTTGATCATAGACATATCGTAAGGAATACCCTTAAACAATGTAGGTAATTGTCTGCAAGCATCAGTGCTTATTGAGATTGAAATAAGATTAAAAAAATTGAAATTGAGATGAGAAATATCGTTATATCAACACTTGTGACTGCTTTAGGAAATAACGATTGTTGTGGACGTCACGGCATAACCGATCGTAAAGGAACGTGTAGTCTCGCACATATGTTTATCAAAAAATAAATAAATAAAAATAACAATCTTTCGTACCGACAATAAAACCGTGTGATCTGACCGGGGCTTTAGACATGAAAGTAAATAATCAATCACGCTTTTATCTCTAAACTTCAGTCTGCAGTCTTGAATATTCGCCGTCTCGTCTTAAATGCTGCTGATCTGTACGTTTTGCTAGCGATATATTTTGTTATTTGTGCCTCAGGGGTTTTCAAGGCGAGAGAAATAAGTTATTAATCTTTTATGAGCACCATCCCTGCGCCGATGGTGAAAACAGCTGCCTGTGTTAATCTGGAATGTATTTAACAGCCTTTTACTCCCATTTTACAGGAGGAGCTGAAAGGCTCATATTTAATATAATTCTATATAGCTTATATTATATACACACTGTTTACGTAAACCTATTAAAGGAAGCCTTTACTCATAGTATTTATTTATAGCAATGTGCTCTGCGACTTCTACCTCAAGTACCTCAAGAATCAGCTGATATGAAATTCATATTGCTTTCCGTGAAGTCTGCACTGCACTTTGCCTCATCTTTAGTGTTTTCTCTTTAAATAACTCAGGTATATCCGATTGCTAGACATGAATCCACATGCAGTTATATTAATATATTGTTTTATCATAGCTTCGTACCATCACTATGCTTGTGTGGATCAAACAGGAATGTATATGTAGAATGTCGTTAAATCAACTGGAAACGTCTGCGGTATCTAATCCAGTACCTCATGCAATAATAGTTAGCTTCTTTGTTATAAAACTAAGAATCATACAATGTGTTGCACCATTTAGACGTGTACTCGTGGTGTTTTTGACTATCCTGATGGATTTGGGAATCACTTCTTGAACATTTGAATGTAATGTGACATTTTCTGTGCTTTTTGTCATTCAATAAATTTAGTGGAATGTTAGAAGAACACTTGTCGTGAGCTGTACTTAATAACTGTATTTATTTATATTAGTGTTGGGCTGTAATACGAAGTGTATCCACTAGATAGAGTGTGAAATGCTTATTAATGATGGTCCAATAAAAAGAACTAAAGTACAGCAGGAATTAATTTGCAGCATGTGGTATACAATTACTGATCCACTGCATCTTTTAATTCATCTGTAGTGATGATACTGAAAACTGTATATTTTTAGTTGCCAGACTTTGACTGAATATATTTATTTTTTAATCAGTGGCTATATGGAGATGTGGAATCGTTTCTATTAATATAAAGCACAGGTGTCAATTGCAGTTCCTGGAGGGCCGCAGCTCTGCACAGTTTAGTTTCAACCCTAATTAAACACACCTGATTATTAACTTATTGAGTCCAAAGACTTGTTTGAAACCTACAAGTAAGTGTGTTGGAGAAGGGTTGGAGTTAAACTGCAGAGCTGCGGCCCTCCAGGAACTGGAATTGATACCAAACTGCATGGAGTCAGATTTCTCCCCATCCTTTTCTTTTTCATTCCTATAATTCCAGAGTGTAGATCTTTCTTTCTTTCTTTCTTTCTTTCTTTCTTTCTTTCATTATTTTTTTCTTTCTGTCTTTTATTTCTTCTTTCTTTCTTTCTTTCTCATTATTTTTTTCTTTCTTTTATTTCCCCTTTCTTTCTTTCTTTCTTTCTTTCTTTCTTTCTTTCTTTCTTTCTTTCTTTCTTTCTCATTATTTTTTCTTTCTTTCTTTCTTTCTTTCTTTCTTTCTTTCTTTCTTTCTTTCTCATTATTTTTTCTTTCTTTCTTTTATTTCCCCTTTCTTTCTTTCTTTCTTTCTTTCTTTCATTTTTCCTTTCTTTCTCTTTCTTTCTTTCTTTCATTCATTATTTTTTTCTTTCTTTTTGTAATTTTCCCTTTTTTTGTTTCTTTCTTTCTTTCATTTTTTCTTCCTGTTCTTTCTTTCATATTTTTTTTCTTTCTTTTATTTCCCCTCCTTTTATTTTCTTTCTTTCTTTCTTTCTTTCTTTCTTTCTTTCTTTCTCTTTCATTAGTGTTTTTCTACTTTTTTTCTTCCTATGATTTCCTTTTATTTCTTTTCTTTGTTTTTCATTTAATTTCTTTCTTAGCTTTGTTTTCTATCCTTTTATTTTCTGTAGTTGTTTCTTTCAGTTTTTCTTTTATTTCCTTTCTTTATCAGTCATTTGTTTTTCTTCCTTTTCTTTCTTTTGTTCTTTCTTTCTTTCGCTTTTTCTTCCTTTTATTTTCTTTCATTCTTTCTCAGTCACAATGTTTTTTGTTTTCTTTCTTTATTTCATTATTTTTTCTTTCCTTTTATTTCTTTCTTTCATTTGTTTTTCTCTTTCTTTCTTTATTTCCTTCTTTTCTTTTCCTTCTTTTCTAGTTTTTTCTTCCTTTTATCTTCCTTTCTTTCTTTAACTTTCTTTTGTTCTTTCTTACTTTCTTTGTTTCTTTTCTGTTTTTCCTTTTAGTTCTTTTTTGTTTTTCCTCCTTTTTATCTTCTTTCATTCTTTCTCAGTCATTTGTTTTCCTTTTTTTCCCTTAGTTTTTTTTTGTTCTTTTTATTTTCTTTCTTTCTTAGTTTTTTCTTCCTTTTATTTTCTTTCTTTTTTGTTCTTTCTTACTCTCTTTTTTATTTCTTTTCTTTTAATTTCTTTTTCTTTTTATTTTCTTTCTCATTCATTACTTTTTTGTTTTCTTTCTTTCTCTCCGTTGTTTTTCTTTCCTTTTATTTTCTTTCGTTCTTTCTTTCTTTACTTTGTTTATATAACAAAATCACTTTTCACATTTCGCATTTAAACCCAAAGGAACCATGGCATTCTGGACATTCACCACATAAATATAAAAATACACATATACCTGCGTTAAGCTGTCCTAAAATAAAAGTGTCATAATATAAAATATTACTTATGATAACAATGTTTAAATAAATGAATCCAGACAGCACTATTCATAAATGACTTCATGAACACAGTCACACATTAAACATCATTATCAGGTGTTAATTATTCAAAAAACGAAAAGAAAATCTTTTAATGCTCCACTAAAAATGTCATGTCAATTAGTTTATAAAGCTGAAAAAACATACAAATACCAGTTCAATCTAATTTAAAACTTTTTTTGTGGTTCAACCTGTAAATTCATACCCCTATAGCGGTAACCTTTACATCAAGGGTTACCAACATGGTGCCCGTGGGCACCAGGTAGCCCGCCAGGTTCACATGAGTTGCCCGCGGGCCTGTTCTAAAAATAGCTCACCATAGCAACACATATGAGTAAGCTGCATCTAATATTTTTATAAGTATTCTTTTTAAATCACACTTGCATTGGTGTAAATTTGAAAATTACTTTAAGTTATATACTGTATAAAAAAAACTTTAAAAACAATTTCAGACAAATGAAGTGTTGCATATTAATATTTATCTAACTTGTTAAATCATTGTTGACAACTACTGTGAGAAATCATTAACATGATCAATGTCTTCACAAAGATGAGTATTATTAATTATTAATAATAACATATAATTAAAAATAAATTAAGAAAAATGTGTTATTTAATAACTGGTAGGCCTTCACACTAATCGGTACCCAAGAATTAGCACTCGGTTTGCAAAAGGTTGGTGACCCCAACTTTACATCAATACTGTTACAAAGTCGTGGGAATTTTCATAGTCGACATAATTTGTAGCCGTTATAAATTCTTGTTTACATAATTTCACCATATTTAAAAATGATTAGTTCATTATTGACAGGTATATTCTCTGAGAATTATCCAAAAGCAGCCTTTTTCGAGTTATATATGTAAATGCGCGTATACTTCAGGTCTGACGGTTATTGTAATTTGCCTTTTGAATATTAATGAAGTACGTACCTTTACCTTCGCACAGTAATCCTACACGTTAGGTTAAAATCATAGTTAAAATACAAGAGTGTGTAAGTGGGCGCTGGTTTTGTTACCAAATGAACCATTTCCAGAGAACAAAAACGGACATAATAAGCTCTGGTTACAGTGCGTGCGCGCTCTCGTGACCACTGCTAATGAATATTCATCAGCCGTGTTTTTTTTTTTTTGTGACCGAGTGAACTTTCGCTGGACGACGTCACTACTACAGGCTTTACGGTACCAAAATGGCCGCTCACAGGATAGTAAACATGGATTTTTGATCTCTCGTGTGTTTTTCAAAGATATACGACGACGATATTTTGAAATTGAACGCATAACAGGGGATAAAATGAAACTGCCGTCCGTCGCATCGCTATTAATTCGCGTTTACAGAACAACAGGTCCTGTGTCACACATTCAGAGGATCAGACATGGAGCTGTCCTCAATAAAAACTATTCATCTGTGTCTGCAGTCAAAAACTGCACTGCACTCCTGTACAGGAATCACGGGGAGCCCTCACAAGTTGTCCAGTAAGCGCGTCATGTCCATTGATAATTGACGGTACCGTTAATATGTTGACAGTTTGACAGCACTTACCCGGTTTCCTGCATGATTGACAGGTTGGAGTCTCTGGATCTTCCTCAGGTGGGAGCTGAATGTGTCCTAGTGAAAATGCTAGCGGCTCCCATCAACCCTTCTGACTTAAATATGCTTCAAGGCAAGAGCAAAGCATTTGACTGGATTTAATAAATGATGCATGACCTATTAATTAACTCCTTGTGCACGAATACATTATATTTGTACATATATATTAATGCATATATTTATATATATATATATATATTAATGCATATATTTATATATATTATACAATTGCTGCTATGATATACAGTTGAAGTCAGAATTATTAGTCCCTATTTGAATTTTATTTTATTTTTTAAATATTTCCCAAATGATGTTTAACCGATTCAGTAAATTTTCACAGTATGTCTGATAATATTTTTTTCTTCTAGAGAGAGTCTTATTTGTTTTATTTTGGATAGAATAAAAGCAGTTTTACATTTAAAAAAAAACATTTTAGTGTCAGTATTATTAGCCCCTTTAAGCTCTATTTTTTTAATAGTCTACAGAACAAACCATCATTATACAATAACTTGCCTAATTACCCTAACCTGCCTAGTTAACCTAATTAACCTAGTTAAGCCTTTAAATGTCACTTTAAGCTGAATAGAAGTGTCTTGAAAAATATCTAGTCAAATATTATTTACTGTCATCATAACAAAGATGAAATAAATCAGTTATTAGAGATGAGTTATTAAAATTATTATGTTTAGAAATGTGTTGGAGAAATCTGCTCTCCGTTAAACAGAAATTTGGGGGAAAAATAAACGAATAATTCAGGGGGCTAATAATTCTTACTTCAACTGTAAATTAATAAATAAATATATATATATATATATATATATATATATATATATATATATATATATATATATATTTATTTATTAATTTACAGTTGAAGTATATATATAAATATAAATATATATAAATATATTTTTTTTAATTAAAAAATTAAAAATTATATATATATATATATTTTTAACTCTCTAAACACATCTTTATATTACAATTGTATATATATTTTATATTATATTTTTTCACATATATATATGTTTTTTTTCACATGATTATTTTTAATAATATGACATATTCTGATTTGTGTATGTGTATTTTTGTAATAAAAATAATATCTATATATGACATGTAAAAATTAATATTTTAATATAATAAATAATACTGTAATTATATTCATATATTATATATATATATATATATATATATATATATATATATATATATATATATATATATATATATATATATATATATATATATATATGACATAGTTTGGTTACTGTAACCCTTCTCAGTGTTTTATGTATAGATTTTGCCATTTACATTTTTCCTCACAGTTGATTATGGTAAATATTTTTTTTACAGATTTACTTGTTTTAAATATTATCGATTCATATTTGTCTTTTCTTACACCTACAGCAAATATTGCCTAGACGTAAACACACTTTATATACATTTATAGAATTTAGTATCATTTTAGTGGGTGACGCAGTGGCGCAGTAGGTAGGCAAGAAGGTCGCTAGTTCAAGCCTCAGGTGGGTCAGTTGTCATTTCTGTGTGGAGTTTGCATGTTCTCCATGCATTCGCGTGGGTTTCCTCCGGATGCTCCAGTTTCCCCCACAGTCCAAAGACATGCGGTACAGGTGAATTGGGTAGGCTAAATTGCCCGTAGTGTATAAGTGTGTGAATGAGTGTGTATGGATGTTTCCCAGAGATGGGTTGCAGCTGGAAGGGCATCCGCTGCGTAAAACATATGCTGGATAAGTTGGCGGTTCACTCTGCTGTGGCGACTCCAAAATAATAAAGGAACTAAGCCGAAAAGAAAACGAATGAATACAATTTTTATTATAATCAGTTTTTATTGTTTTCTATTACAGTACTGTGGAGAATACATTTTTTTAATAGAAAATTAATGTAAAAATCGTATATTAAATGTCCTTTGTTCATGATTTTGCATATTCAGCCATCACTGTCATTAAACAGGCACATATGCCATCCTGCCTGAGCTTCCGGCAGTGGGGGGCAATGAGGGTGTGGCTCAGGTGATGGAGGTGGGAGACAAGGTCAAAACACTCAAAGTGGGCGACTGGGTGATTCCAAAAGATGCTGGCATAGGTGAACAAATAACCTGCACTCTGTATATAAATGACTTAGATTCAGTATAATCATCATCAGTAGTATGTAATACGCCTGCTTGAATCCCCACAGGCACATGGAGAACAGCAGCAGTTTTAAAGGCTGACGATCTGGTGACTTTACCTAAAGACATTCCTGTACTGTCCGCAGCCACTCTGGGGGTCAATCCATGCACCGCTTATAGGATGCTCACAGACTTTGAGGAGCTCAAAGCAGGTAGGCAGTGCTCATGATTACACATCGTGAAATAAAAAAGGGGTAGTTCACCTTAAAATGAAGATTCTGGCCCGTATCATACACTCAGCACAATCAGATGCAAGATGTGTTTCCACAATGTGTTGCTATTTTCAGACCAGCGCAAACTTAATTTTTTCATTTTCTGCTACGTTGTTTAAATAGCAAATCCATTTACACCACTTTGTGGAATCATGGGTGTTTCGGTATAGAACAGAGGTGTGTTACGGTGCATTGTTGGAGTGTTGCTATTTTGAAGAACTAAAATAGACTGTTTAATAGACCAGCTGAAAGCTGCTCTAAAGTCCGAGGCACTGAGAGGATTTTTCCGTTCTTAAATTAGCTAAAGTGGATTCGGATACGCCCTTAATGCTTTTGCACCATGTGCTTTGACTTTGCACCAAGATTGTTTAAATAGAGCTCACAGTCATTTAGAGGTTTAGTTCATACCAAAATGAAAATTGTTCACTCCAAAATTATTATTCTGGTATTAAAGGGTCAGTTCACACCCAAATTAATATTCTGACGTTAAATATTCTGATATTAAAGGGTCAGTTCACACCCAAATTAATATTCTGACGTTAAAGGGTCAGATCACACCCAAATTAATATTCTGACGTTAAAGGGTCAGTTCACACCCAAATGAATATTCTGACATTAAATATTCTGATATTAAAGAGTCAGTTCACACCCAAATTAATATTCTGACATTAAATATTCTGATATTAAAGGGTCAGTTCACACCCAAATTAATATTCTGACATTAAATATTCTGATATTAAAGGGTCAGTTCACACCCAAATTAATATTCTGACATTAAATACTCTGATATTATAGGATCAGTTCACACCCAAATTAATATTCTGACATTAAATACTCTGATATTAAAGGCTGAGTTCAAACCCAAATTAATATTCTGACATTAAATATTCTGATATTAAAGGGTCAGTTCACACCCAAATTAATATTCTGACATTAAATATTCTGATATTAAAGGGTCAGTTCACACCCAAATTAATATTCTGACATTAAATATTATGATATTAAAGGGTCAGTTCACACCCAAATTAATATTCTGACATTAAATATTATAATATTAAAGGGTCAGTTCACACCCTAATTAATATTCTGATATTAAAGGGTCAGTTCACACCCAAATTAATATTCTGACATTAAATATTATGATATTAAAGGGTCAGTTCACACCCAAATTAATATTCTGACGTTAAAGGGTCAGTTCACACCCAAATAAATATTCTTATATTAAAGGGTCAGTTCACACCCAAATTAATATTCTGACAATAAATATTATGATATTAAAGGGTCAGTTCACACCCAAATTAATATTCTGACATTAAATACTCTGATATTAAAGGGTCAGTTCACACCCAAATTAATATTCTGACATTAAATATTCTGATATTAAAGGGTCAGTTCACACCCAAATTAATATTCTGACATTAAATATTATGATATTAAAGGGTCAGTTCACACCCAAATTAATATTCTGACATTAAATATTATAATATTAAAGGGTCAGTTCACACCCTAATTAATATTCTGATATTAAAGGGTCAGTTCACACCCAAATTAATATTCTGACATTAAATATTATGATATTAAAGGGTCAGTTCACACCCAAATTAATATTCTGACGTTAAAGGGTCAGTTCACACCCAAATAAATATTCTTATATTAAAGGGTCAGTTCACACCCAAATTAATATTCTGACAATAAATATTATGATATTAAAGGGTCAGTTCACACCCAAATTAATATTCTGACAATAAATATTATGATATTAAAGGGTCAGTTCACACCCAAATTAATATTCTGACAATAAATATTATGATATTAAAGGGTCAGTTCACACCCAAATTAATATTCTGACGTTAAAGGGTCAGTTCACACCCAAATAAATATTCTTATATTATAGGATCAGTTCACACCCAAATTAATATTCTGACATTAAATATTATGATATTAAAGGGTCAGTTCACACCCAAATAAATATTATGATATTAAAGGGTCAGTTCACACCCAAATTAATATTCTGACATTAAATATTATGATATTAAAGGGTCAGTTCACACCCAAATTAATATTCTGACGTTAAAGTGTCAGTTCACACCCAAATAAATATTCTGATATTAAAGGGTCAGTTCACACCTAAATTAATATTCTGACGTTAAAGGGTCAGTTCACACCCAAATTAATATTCTGACATTAAATATTATGATATTAAAGGGTCAGTTCACACCCAAATTAATATTCTGACGTCAAAGGGTCAGTTCACACCCAAATAAATATTCTGACATTAAATATTCTGATATCAAAGGGTCAGTTCACACCCAAATTAATAGTCTGACATTAAATATTATGATATTAAAGGGTCAGTTCACACCCAAATTAATATTCTGACATTAAATATTATGATATTAAAGGGTCAGTTCACACCCAAATTAATATTCTGACGTTAAAGGGTCAGTTCACACCCAAATAAATATTCTTATATTAAAGGGTCAGTTCACACCCAAATTAATATTCTGACGTTAAAGGGTCAGTTCACACCCAAATAAATATTCTTATATTAAAGGGTCAGTTCACACCCAAATTAATATTCTGACGTTAAAGGGTCAGTTCACACCCAAATTAATATTCTGATATTAAAGGGTCAGTTCACACCCAAATTAATATTCTGACATTTCAGTTCACACCCAAATTAATATTGTTATCAAAGAGTTAAGTTGCACTAAAAGGAAAATTTAATAAAGCGGTAGTTTACCCACAAGTGAAAATGCTGTTATTAAAGGGTCAGTTCACTCAAAAAAATTTTTTTTTCATTAATTAAAAGGTTATGTTTTGTAATATTTTAGGAGACACAGTGATCCAGAATGCCGCTAACAGTGGTGTTGGACAGGCTGTTATTCAGATCGCTGCTGCTAAAGGCATTCACACCATTAATGTCATCAGAGACAGGTAAAATCTCCTTAAATCACTGCCTGTTAGGTTGTAATAACTCTTCTTAAACCCTTTTTTCAATCTTTCTGAATGAAATGTCTACTTTACGGCATCCCACGCCTAATTTAGCCACGCCCACTGTTTTCTCATTTAATATTCTGTTTCTCTAGGAACTGCCTCACAATATGAAAAAATTGGTTGCAGCTGTTGGTTCATGAGGATTTTAAATAAAAAGAAACCATGTATTCGCTTTATGATCGTGTAAAGCAGCGTGTTTCTTTTTGGCTTCAGGCCGGATCTGCGGCAGCTCTCAGACAGACTGACAGCGATGGGCGCCACACACGTCATTACAGAAGAGACTCTGAGACGGCCAGAGATGAAGGAGCTCTTTAAGGTCAGTGCAGTGTGGATTGATTTGTTCATATGTTAACTGCGTGCTTTAAAGGGGAACTATTATGCCCTTTAAAAGCAAATAAATGATGTAAAGAATTATCTAGAGTGTGTGCGTGTAAAGTTTCAGCTCACACTAGTAACTTTTCATAACTCTCTGATACTGACCTTTTTTTGGCTTGGATCATAATTGTGTCGTTTTGGTGACTGTCGCTTTAAATTCAAATGAGATTGTGCTCTTTTTAGAAGAGGGCGGAGCTATAAATGCCTGACCATCAGCATATTGGCAGATACAGAACTCTAATAGTGAACGGCTGCTTCTCATTCTGTACTGTTTATACTAATGAGGAAGAGATTATAACTAATGGGCGGGGCTTTCCCTCTCTGATGACACGTACAAAGGGAGAATGTCAATCAAAGTGTTTCTGCAGACTGTTATTATCAAGTGTGATTAAAAAAATTGAATCAATTAACTTTTGCCATTAGAAGTTGGTTATATTCGCACACTTCTGCCACACAACTGTGCTTAACCCCAGAATAAAAGTGATTGTTGCATAATAGCTCCCCTTTAAAAGCCACTCAGTATCTTTGTTTTTTAACAGTCCTGTCCTCGACCTAAACTGGCACTGAATGGAGTTGGAGGAAAAAGTGCCACAGAACTATTACGCCATTTACAGTAAGTTACTATATTTAGCATGCTAAAACAAAAAAAATTCATTATTTACATTATTATCACAAACCTGAGTTTTGTTCTTCTGGTAAACATGAAAAAGGATATTTAGAAAAATGTTGGAAATTGGTAATTATTGACTTCCATAGTATTTGTTTTTCCTACCATTGGGGTTTCTATCGTTCTTTAAAAATTTGTTTGTGTTCAACACAAGAAAGAAACTCATAAGTGTTTAGAACCACTTGAAGGTGAGCAAATTTTCCTTTTTGGGTGAACTATCCCTTTAAGAGTTATTTTGTTCACTTATGCCGAGTTCAGACTGCATGATTTTCAAAGTAGTCGTGTCACAGATGTTTTCACACTGCTTGACTATCTGGGCTAGCGTTTCGTCGCTGCTTTGTTTACACTGCAAGATGGATCGGCAACAGGGACTTTCACATTGCATGACTTTACAATAGAAAGAATCGCCGACAACTTCGTCCAAACTACGTCTCACAGCCAAAAACACATAGCATATCTTTTGTTATTAACTACATAATGAGAAAGAAGCCTTTAATGGGGTAGAACATGTACATGTTTGCTCACCTGAATTAGCCATTTCTCCTCAACGTTGATAATAAACTAATTTCTTTCTGTATGAAACGTCAAACAGACACGGTTGCTCCTGAGTCCTGTCAAACCTCCACTAGTTTTTCCTCCATTTCGTGGGTCCAATAAACCGAAAATGAGCGCTTTTACCTTCTCCCCCAGCCTCCCGCTGGCCTGCAGCAGGTATACACACACGCACACACAAGTGAATGCTGCTCTCTCATTGGCTGTAGGCGATCGCTGATGTTATTTTCAGTCCAAACTCATTTCACACGGCATGATTTGAATCGCCGACAGCTCCAGATATTTAGCACGCCAAATATCTCGCAGGCATCGGCGATTCTCTCAGATCGCGTCTTTGATAGTTCATATTGTGTGATTGTCACTCACGTGCACGAGCAGCGATTTGCCTGTGATTTCAGGCATTTGTCGGCGATTTCTCAAAACCTGTCGGCGAGCCAAAATCGGGGCTAAAATCACGCAGTCTGAACTAGGCATAAAGTAGCTGCTATTTTAAAAGATACGGTTCCTGAAAATCACACATTTCAAGAGTCACAGAATTAATAAAGCCTAAAAAACTTGACATTCATTCATTTTCTTTTCGGCTTAGTCCCTTTATCAATCTGGGGTCGCCACAGGGGAATGAACCACCAACTTATCCAGCACATGTTTTACGCAGCGGATGTCCTTCCAGCTGCAACCCATCACTGGGAACACATACACTCATTCACACTCATACACTACAGACAATTTAGCCTACCCAATTCACCTGTACCACATGTCTTTGAACTGTGGGGTAAACCGGAGGAAACCACAGGGAGAACATGCAAACTCCACACAGACACGCCAACTGATCCAGCCGAGGCTCGAACCAGCGACCTTCTTGCTGTGAGGCGACAGCAATACCTACTGTGCCACTGCGTTGCCTTAAGTTGACAATATGAAGTAAAGAAGTTTATTGAACCTTTAGATTTTTATTTATTTATTTGTTTTTTTAGTATTTCGTTTTTTTCTGAGAGTTACATTTGATACAATCAGCTTTTATGATCAATATACAGTATGATATACTGGGAATTTAGAGGAAATCTTGAAAGGAAAAAACACCTAAATTTTATTCAGTAACATACTGAACACAAATAACAGATCCTTTTACTGAATTTAAATGGGCAAACATTAATATGGAATTCTGATTGCTTGTAAATCAATGAGATCTTTCTAACAGTACAGCAGGCCCTTGATAAACTCAGCCTGTAAATATTTGAATGTTGTGTCTGTGTTTTTCAGAAGTGGAGGGAGTTTGGTGACCTACGGTGGGATGGCCAAACAACCAGTCACTGTTCCAGTGGTGAGTGAGACCATTTATCACCTTGGAATTACAAGGTTCTATCTAAGAGTTTTGTCAAAATTGAGTTATTGACATATT